AGGGCGTGTCAAATCTTCCCAATACAACGGCAGAACAGACTATCTTTCTCTTTCCCGGCGTCTACCACGAGCAGGTTTTCATCACACCACTGGCGGGGCCTCTCGTGCTACAAGGTTACACTTGCAACACGGAGTCGTACGCTGACAACCAAGTGACAATCACCCAGGCGAAGGCGCAAAGAGACATCCCACTTAATACTACAGAAGTGATGAAAAGTTCTAGAGATGTCCGAAAAATAGTGTGCTTTCCGGTATTAATATCAGAAATCTTTTTTGTATGGTCCTGATCAGGTTAAGGAGGGGAGGAAATGAGGAGGTGAATTATCGTTTCTCAAGAGTCTCAAAAAGTGTACTTTTGACTCCTGTATTTTCAGGCCACCTCTACAGGCAGGTGTAATTAGGCTCAAGCCAAAGCCAGGCCAAAGCTTTCGTGACCTATCATGCATTCTTACGTGTAGTGGAGAATTTCGGGCACAGACTTCCCTGAGGCACTTGTAGTTTGTCGGCATGAAGGGAGGGCAGCACGTACTATATATACTACGTATTTTCGTTTTGATAATGCGTAATATTTATAAATATTGCTGTTGTTAATAGGGAGTCGAAAAAAATGGCCTTATAGTACATGTGCTCTGGCTCGAATCCCATCGTAAGTAAATCTAACTGATGGCTCGGTACTTGTATCGATCTACTATAAACGGCCATCCCATCGCATTAAGGCTTTTGGGGCTACCGATGACTCGGTACTTGTATCGACTTACTAGTAACGACCATCCCACTGTCAAGTTAGTGCTACTTATGGCTCGATATTTGTAGCGACTTACTAGCAGCGGCCACTGCAACAGCATTTGTACCAATACACCAGTGAGGGTGATATCACCGCTAATGGATCACGAATTAATTCTTGTTCTTGTTGGGCTGTCCCCTACAGCACTAAAGCGCTAGTATAATATCTAAAGGGGTCGTGTTTCTATTCTTCCTGCCAGTAAAAGTAGATGCGTGCGGGGACAAGATCGTTTTTCAGAAGAAGTTCGCTTTACGTTTCATTGGTACTTGGTGTCATGAAGATATTATATATGCTTATAGGCCGACCAACAACAGGTGGTCGCAAGACAAAGTGGGATGCATTTTGGGAATATTCTGTCCGGACATCGTGTGTTCTCTATGAGATTTCCTGCAGGAACATTTCTGGTATGCTCGCTGATAACGTGGAGATTGTCAACAGAACAAACAATCCAATGGAATCCTACAACCGAACACTCGCCGAAGCAATGGACAACAGTATGCTGCATTCTATTTAAGTTTTAAATGAAGAAGCAAGTCGATACCTTGCTCAACTTGCCGACGTCAGACACCGCCGCCAGAGCCCGCCTCCGCGTGCTACACCTCTCTTACCCCGATATACCTCGCCTTTAATATTATATAATTTCTTATTTTGCAAAAGTATCCACATATTTTATTACAAGTCGTGTCGAGGTTAACCTGATGTTTATCTAATGACACCTAACTTTTAGTAATCCGTGCATTAAATATTTTGGCCATGTTTGGGCACGCAATGGCCGACGTCTCAAAAAGCGTCTGCGCATCCTGGATTCACTTCGGCCTCTCAAAACGCGAGCAATAGCAGCTTCGTCTCCCAGCGAGCGGATGTCACATTAAGGGATGGAATATCATTCCGAGACCATGGGGAGAAACGTACCGTAGTTAGACGCGGAATAAAGCGCTACATTTTGATTTTTTTTTTCTGGGTGAATCATTTGGAGACAATCAGTACCTGCTGGCACTGAAGGACGATGCTAGTCATTTTTGTGAATTTGTAGTCTGTGAGCCACCAACCAGTGCCGTGGTCGCTGAGGCTATTCTACAGTGGCATTCTCGTTTCGGGGTGCCGCAACTATGGATAAGTGACTAAGGCACTTATCTCAAATGTGAAGTGGTTGACACCCTGAGGCCGGTTCCTAACGGGATCACGACGGAGCATGATCCAGTTAGGGTTAAGTGTACGTGCAGATCATGATTAATTCACTCTTAACGGGATCGTGACCCTTCGGGTCACGAAGCACAGACGTTTTGCTTCAGCAACACAAACCGGTGTGCTCGAGGTCTCTCGTTTAGCATGGAGTCCGCCGTCTCGACGGTCGCAGATGCCTCCACTAGTAGTGGAGCTTGTGTGAGCACACACTGGACTGCTGTACAGAAGGCAGGCAGCAAGCGCACAGTTCCTCCGCCCTCGTCGGACGACTACAGCACTTGGACGGTAGATCAACTAAAGTTAGAGTGTACCGCGCGTAAGCTTTCTGTGGCGAAGAATACTAACAAGGCCGATCGAGTTACTATCCTTCAGGGGTACGATGAGTCCCAGAATGCCATGGAGCTGCTACTGGACCGTCAGCGGCAGGCCAAACGTGGTAGGGGGCCTTCTGCAGAGACCACTCAACGCAGAAGCAAGCACTGTTTGTATCGCCTGCTCAACGTACTCTTCTCTGAAGATTTTTTCGAGAAATTTATCACATCTGGTGACGCACTTACACGGCGTGAGCTAGATGAGGGTGGTCGGGAGTTCTGGGAGCAGGTGGCCGAAGCTTTCAGTACATTCAACGATGACTTCGACCGTCTTGTGTCTCCAGACTCGTTGTTTGAGGGTATTGAACCGCAGTTAATTACGGCTCATTCCGGTGCAAAACTTAAGTCTATGTGGAAGGAATGTAATTCGCGTTTCGCCGCAGCCGAAGGAAGATGCAAATTATCAGGTTCACATGACGAATTTTGGCAATTTTGCCAAGGAGATAAAGTAGCCATGTACGTTCACCTGTGGTGTGAAGAACGCGGTTCAGGTCGGGAATTTTGTGCTACTTGTATTTACGAGGATAACGAAGATGACGAATCAAAAGAGCGGGGGCCAAGTGAAAAGAAGCAGAAAGTGAATAGGAAGCGGCAAAAACAAGATGATCAACGAAAGAGTCTCGATTCCGTTTCCATTCTCACTGAAGCAGTTAACAAACTCGTCGAGATTGAAGTATCGAGTGCAAAAGGAGCATTAATTGAGGAGAAAACCGCTGTTGCACGTCTTCAACGCGAGAAGATGGAGAGAGATGTATTGGTGGAGAAAATAGCCGCTGTGGATGGGAATTTTAGCTCGTCGCCGTCAAGCATTGCACGATCTCGACATACGCATCTATGAGAACGGACTTAAAGGGATGGACGTCGCTGATCTAGAGCGTGAACGTGAGTCTGTATTTAGGCGCGTTCAGACTGCGCAGGAGAAATCGGACGAGCTTCAAGATCACATAATGAGGGACTAACGGATCAATGAATATTTGTTTTTACCTTAATATCCCGATTGGTTTTTATTTACTTAAAGGCCTTGCTAAATTGTATCTCTGAATGTGCTCTAAAACCACTTTGCGAAAGATATGACCGTTTACAACCTGCATATTATCTTTACCCGTGTCGTCAGCTACTGTGGGCAAATAGCTGCAGTTTTCCATTGCGTTAAATTCTCTTGACGCGGCATTGCTTGGTCCTCCACTTTCCGGTTGAGAAATGCGCTCGTTAATGCAGTAGTTATGTAATTTCATACAAGTTTTGATAACGAGCCCTGCATGTACATAGTCCACTGCCAGTGGCCTCTTAAATATTTGCCACTTATTAACCAGGAGACCGAAGGACATTTCAATTCGAATGCGTAGTTGGGATACATAAAAATTGTAGTCGGAATAATCTCTGGTTTTGATCTCCGGTTTCGTAAAGGGCACCAGCACGGATGATGACAATGGGTACGCGTTGTCACCGATGACATAATACCCAAAGGGTAAATTGGAGATAGCAGTGTGCAATGGCCACTTTTTAAAAGCAACACTATCCGAAACCTTTCCTGGTGAGTTAAAACAATAACCGGTAAATCTGCACGCTGCGTCACACATGGCCTGCACATTTATACCGTAGCACAAGTAGTGACCCGAAAAGAAAGCTGATACGTCGGGGACTTCATTTGCACTTGGAGCTTTTATAGTGCACAACCACCCATCCACACAACCAACACAACCCGTAAGAATGTTGTATGTACTGATATCTGCAAATTGTGATGCTGCTCGAGTAATAGATTCCATGTCGTAAACAGGAGCCGTAATTTGATATCTAGGGTCATCACATATTGCATTCATCACTTCAATAACAGCAGAATAAAATTCAGAGGTGCTAACACCGGCCAGAGCTCGAATTGCATGATAAGAACCTCCAGCGAGCCATGATATAGTCATTTGTACCTTGTTTACTGGCGTTACAGGTCCGATACCAGTTCTGTTCCGTGACTTCAATTGATCGCGTTCTAAGACAGGCTTTAGAGATTCAACGAGCCGCTCGAATGCTATAACATTCATTCTATAGTAACGATCGAATTGTCCTTCTTGCACTAGTCGATCTCGATGCGGCTCCCACTCCAAACGTTTGCGTGAAACAACGTTCGATCTACGTCGACGACGTAATTCGCTCACAGCAACTACAACGGCGAGACAGACCACAACGCGAGATACTTTCATTGTCTTTCTCTTGAATGGTGCCCGTGACCCTGATCCCAAAGCGAGTGATGATCCCAATTTGGGATCATCGATTGTAACTAAAAATAAACATATGTATTTTTTAGCCAATCAGGTATCGAGTTTGTAGATCATGATCCGATGATGATCCCGTTAGGAACCGGCCTGAGGAGTAAGTTGAAGTGCGATCACGAGTTTTCGGTGGCATATTGTCCGTGGATAAAAATTACTGGATGTACAATTGAAGTAATGAAAAAAAAACGCTGTTTCTCAAATTCAGCGACTTTGTGCAGTACTTGACCAGGCAAAAACACACACGCTGTAATGATACCTTTAGAAAAAATCTCAGTTGAGCCAGCTTCTAAGTATCATTAAAAAATTGACAGCCAGCACAGTGCTCTTATCGATATCATATGCAAGTACACGATACCGGAACAGGTACCAGTATGTTTTTTCCTCCTCACGTCCTTACACGAAATTGGTGTCAACCCACCATTCGGATTCGTAGTTCTTGCCGAGAATGTCCGCAATTGCCACAGGCGCGTCCAGTTGCCCACTGAAGGGCGTACGTTTGCCGATAGCTGAACCGGGGCCGCTGTTGTTGAACTCCTTGAAGTAGACATTCGCAGTGCTGCTGGATTCGTCCCATGCCTCCCACCCCTCCGGGTTTACAATGTCCCCCAGCTCGCTGTTCTGCCACACAACACGAGCAAAGGGACGCCATGGCCGACCCAAGTAGGTCGATCCAGTGCCGAACAGACGGGCGTTGTTGAAGACATACTCGGATGCGATAGTCGCATTCTCGTTGCCGTTAGCAGTGATCCAGCCTTCACCGATGGACTCGATGTCGCAAGACTCGAACCACGCCATGGCTTTTTGACCAAAGACAAAGTCAACAGCACCGCTGATGTACGTCTTGGCGTAGAGCTCGCGGCCCTTGTGGGCGCACAACGTGTCTTGGTATCCAGTAAAGTTGCAAGCGTAGAATCCGTAGTCGGCTCCATCGGCATAAATAGCCACCGCCTGGCCATCTTTCTTGATTTTGCCGGCTGGATTTCCCACGTTGAAATTGTACACCTTCACGTTGCTTGCCTGCAGACCTAGCGTACTGGTGAGGTAGTTGCGGTTGTTCTTGATCTCAGGTGGGATGTCCTTCTGAGCCTTCGCGTGGGTAATGGTCACCTCGTTCGAAGCGTACGATGTCGTGTCACAGGTGTAACCCTGCATCACCAACGGACCAGCCAGCTTCGGAACGGACACTTGCTCGTTGTAGACACCCGGAAATACGAACAAAGTCTGCTCGGTGGTCGAGTTTGGCAGATTGGCAACACCCTCAGCGACGGTCTTGTAGCTCCCATCGAAGGCACCCGACGCATCGACGACGACAGCTTCTGCTGGAGGGTCGGTCCTCGCGTTAGGGCCATTACAGAGCCCTGAAAAGCCAATGGGGGAGCCGCCCTTCACCGGGGCTTCGATCCCAGTCTTCTGCTTACCAGAAAAGTCAGCAAACGTGGCCGTCACGATGCTGGCAAATACTACCAATGGTACGTGCATCCTCTGTAGTTCTGGTTTGAGTGGCGTGGAGAAAATTGCAAAGTGATATTTAATGTAAGTTGTTGCCTACCGGTGTTTTTAAAACCGTACATGTAGTTGTACATCCCCTAAGTCTTGGATTGGACCGTCAAATTGCTGTTCGATCGACCCACGGCCGGTGCCATGGGTCGATCGAACAGCAAACGTAGGCCAGGTACGTGCGTTACTAATGCGTAACCCAATACATGTAGCATGGCAGAAGATTAGCGTAGCCTCAAATTTGAAACCCTTTTATATCTGATCACTGAAATTGGCAGTACATTTGACAGATCTGTGTTGCCAAAATAACACCGGCAAAAGATGTTCTGCTTCGGGTTCTTACAGACAGCGATCTTGAGCTGACACGGGTTCGAATACCAGATGAATACAGAATTAGGTATGACAAAATTTGCAAAAATAGTTTTAACAAAGCTCATAAAAATAGTAAATAATACTTCGTATATAATACGCAATTAGGCAATGGTATCCTCCTTGCCATTAAATGAGCCGAAAGGGGCAGCATGCCTGTCGTAGCAGTGTAACTCAGCTTATTCGGGCTATTAATATTGAGTTCGGCGAAAACTGACGAGTAACTAGGGGTTTTCTTGAGGCTTTATCTATACTGCAGTTTAAAAACTACAATGTGAAACACGTGCTTTCACCATAAATTGAAGCCTGAGCACTTGTGCAGGTTAGATTCCTATTCTGCTATTTTATATTAACGAGAACTTCAGAATCGACATAAAGACGGAAGCTATGGCCTATACGTTGATTAAAAGATTTATTTTGTCCCCATCGGTAGAATATGTAGGATGGCGACCGTAGCCTACAGACATACCCTCCCAATTCTAATTACATCTAGTGAAAGAGGAGATATGATAGGCGTGGACACTGATTCTCGAGCTCGTTTACCCCTGCCTTATCTAGGAAGTGGCATGGTCAAGTTGACCGAGTAAGCAAAAACAACCTGCCGTTTGAAGGCCTCAGAACGGTATTAGATACAATAAGAATATCAAATCAATTATAAATCAGTGAAGAGCTTGTTCAAGCTAGTATATAGCAGTTTGAGTTTTGCCAAATTCGACGTGTACTCGACAAAACTTCTTCAAAGACTTCTTGGTCCTGTTTTTAAATACGCCTATGTCGCTTTTTACTAAATTCAATACTAGTTCTATAAAATCTAATCTTTGCACGCCTACAAGTAGAATAGCATCCATGCTTCTTGTAGGCTTTCAGCTTGGGGACAAAATATTAAGACCTATTTCAATCTTAAGCAGCGGTTCTTTTTCAGTTTTATTCTAAAAATGGTAATGGACGTAACCTATTTCGTTAACACTTGTTCGCGCTTACAGTACACTCGCTTTTATAAAGTTAGCGCATCTATATCACTAGACCATATCGTCCGTTGATAGTCTTCATGCTTTTAAGCACGTTACTACGCCACTAATAAATCAAATTGATATTTTCCCACATTAAAACAAATACACTTCAGATAGGAATGACCGTCGTTGTTAGTGATTACGACCATCACGCGCAGCAACATTTGACAAGCACACGACGATAACGTCTTATTTTCACGCAAACCTATGTTGCTGTTTAACTGCAATAGGTACCGGTACCGATACTGCAATCCGGAGTGAGCCAATAATAATTGATTTTGGTTTTTAAGCGTTAAATAATTTGAACCATTTACCCATCTTCAATACGTGTCGACCCACCACCACAATGATACATCATTATCTTGAGGTGTCCAAACGAATGTGAACATGTATCCACGGGGGCGTGGCTTCACCCACGCTGTCGTCGAAGGCTACGGCTATCGCGGTTATCTGAAATCCGAAGAGATTACACAATACAGTATGTAGCATATATGCGTTTCCGGGTTGTTCCATTGAACGCGCGCAAACTCTGATACTTCGTATATTCTTGCCTCGAGTGAGAGCCCACTTACGTACGCTATTGTGCGTCCTACTCAAAATTCCCGTGCGCGGCTCTTTGAATGAACGGGCACGGAATAGCGCAAATCTATTATTGATTGACTTGTCTTGAGGGAGAATCTACTTAAGTAGCTCCGATTGTGTTCGTAGACTGTGTCTATGGTGCCGAACGTGGACGATATGGTCAGATGACAATGTCCGGTACACACCAGAATGTAAAGGGTCCTTTAAGATAGTATCGTGTCGAGGGGCTGCGCAAATATTTACTGCTCGTTGCCTTGTACTACCGGTAATCAAATTTTTGCTATTATTCTGAGTAGGGCATATCAGCTTCGTTATCTACTTGTTGAGTCCATTAACGTGCTTTTTAATTTTTGTTAAGGTTGCCGCAGCGATAAAGCTTGACATTTTCTTTTTGGGAGTTAGCACTTTGTAAGACTTGACGATTTTGTAGCTGCACTCGATAATCCACCAAAGTGCACTTGAAAACCATTCCTACCCGTCAAGTTGACCTGCCTACTCGTATTGCGAAAATAATCCATCCGGTTTAGTGCTCTGTGTACTACAATCGAGCGAGCGGGCACTAATATCCAGTTTTATTTTAATTTTTTTATCAAAGAAGGGAAGAACCAACTCTGTACATGTATTACAAATTCGGTTCTGTAATCAAGACAGTAGCTTACACATACGGGCCGGTAATCAGCACGGTAGCTTCGGATGCGTAGAATGTCACTTTTCAATTTCCATCGCAACGTCCGGATAATGAACACGCCCATGTTGCTGTCCCTCCTTCTTTTTACGCTCGTCTCTCGCTCAGCAATCGCTGGTGGAAATCCGTGTAGTGGAGATAATGCTCGTACCACTCCTCCACCAGGTGCTATCGTAGTTGACTCAATGGGATCGCACAAGGGAAGTTTCCGGACGCTGGCTGAAGGGGTGGAACATTTAATCGACACGTCGAAGCAGCAGACCATCTTCCTGTTCCCGGGTGTTTATCACGAGCAGGTGTTCATCACACCACTCGCCGGACCCCTCGTGCTGCAGGGTTACACTTGTAACACGAAATCATATGCTGACAATCAAGTTACGATCACCCAGGCGAAAGCGCAAAGGGACGTCCCATTAAATGTGACCGGGGACCGCAATTGGGCAACGAGCACACTGGGTCTCGCAGCGAGCAGCATTAAAATCTTCAATCTCAACGTGGCCAATACAGCCGGTAAAATTGGGGGTAAGGTCGGCCAGGCGGTGGCGGTGTATGCCAATGGAACCGACTACGGCTTTTACGCCTGCAACTTCTCCAGCTACCGGGACACCTTGTGTGCGCACAACGGCCGTGAGCTCTATGCGCGAACGCTGATCCGGGGAGCTACCGACTTCATTTTCGGTATGAACGCTCAAGCGTGGTTCGAAAGCTGTGATATTGAGGTCGTTGGCAAAGGTTACGTCACAGCTAATGGACGTGACACTGAGTCGAATCCATCGTGGTACGTCTTTAATCACGCGCACGTGTACACGAACAACGCATCTTTAGTTGGAAAAACATATCTTGGTCGACCGTGGCGCCCCTATTCGCGAGTTGTTTTCCAGAACAGCCAACTTAGTGACGTCGTGCATCCGGAAGGCTGGAAGCGCTGGAACAACGACACCAACACAGATAGTATCTACTACAAAGAATTCAACAACAGCGGACCTGGCGCCGCTCTCGACCAACGTGTATCCTTCAGTGGACAGCTGAATAAAGCTGTGACCATATCGGACATCCTCGGCGAGAACTACGAGTCGGAGTGGTGGGTTGACACTAAGTATTTGTAAGGATACGACGTGCAAATTTCTCGAGGAAAGTTACCTCAACCAAGCGAAAAACTTCCCCAAATGACTTTCAACATGTATGCGTCAATACCGATAGTGTCTATCTTAGGTGTCATTCAGCTTCATCAGCGCTGAACACGATGATAAACCAGCAGGCTTCTTTGTTGATGTTCTCTGGAATTGGAAGCACGTTGGTGATGTGAGGGACACCCCAGAGCGGATTTACTTAGTGAGCGGTTATAGTGGAGTTCGCAGAAGTGCTAGTGCTTTCTATTGTGCACTAACTAACAGTTAGTGGTGTTTGCAAACAGGTTGAGAAGCGCTGGATTACAATACTGTACTGTGTGTAGAGCAGTTGCTTCACCATTGATTTTACATGGGTAAGGAGCTTACAGTAGTATACTCATAGTGCCAGAAAAAGGTACTTTTCAATTCGATCTGTACAAATTTTACAATAATACTACCTCCGTTCTGAAAATGATAACCATTTCAAATTATATTACAGCCTACCCAACAAAATACCCCCTCTATGCCGATCACTTTTTGGATTTCGAATCTCCCGCGCTTTCCCGACCGGACTCCCAGCTTTCATTTTGAAAGCTGGCACCTGGGGGATATCACAGACAGTGAGCGCGAGGCCGTCTGGGAGACCTTACTGCTTCGCAGCGTGGGAGGAGTGCTCAAACATGGAGAGATCGTTCGGGTTGCAGCGTACTTCCGTGTGGGCCGCCAAGTTGTCGAGCGAATTTGGAGGCGTGGAATCAATTCGATGGGAGATCGAGTAGCAGCCGTGGTCAAGTCAAGGAAGAGCGCGTGTGGTAGGAAAAAGGTGGATCGAGCTGAGCTGTGCGAGAGAATCGCTGTAGTTCCTGTCAATGAGCGCGAAACCCAGCGTCTGCTTCAGCG